CTAACCCATTAGCATGAATGGCGCAAGTTTTAGGGATTATACAGGGATTGCAGGGTCTTATATAGGGGCTTCAACCGCGCGCTTTAACCCCGTCACATAGGGCTTGGGGGTTAGGGTGTGGGTTGGGATTGAATATGATGCAGGATTGCATCCTGCTGTTGGCTCTAGTGTTTGATAAGATGAATATACTCTTAGTTAGTTCAGTCGCCAAACAACATCACTCTAAAATACCCAAAATCCCAGACGGGGTTGTCAAGATTAGGGTTTAGGGCTTCAGTGTTTGGGGATTTTAGGGTGCTATATTAACCTGGAGGACCCATTGGAACACACATTTGTGCTCAACCCCCGTTTTGATACACTTTTTGTTGCGTCGAGCGCTTTTTCTGAAACGCGCGCTTTTCGGAGCAACCGGGCGGATCTTGCAAAAATGCACGAGCGCAATTGTTGCGCAACTCGTGCGCAATTTTCCACAACTTGGGCGCAAATTCCCGCAACCGAGCGCAATTTCAAAAAAATGTACCTTTTGTATGTTTTGGGCTCGCGCGCTTTTACACCAGCCGAGCGGAATTTATTCGTTACACATATTTGTGTATCAATTGGGCCTCGAGGTTGTTTAGACGTTTAGGTGCTTTTAACCTTTTAGACTTTTCGGGGTTTGTGGTTCAGGAATTTTTCCATTTAATTCTTCACTTTTGGAGATAGTGTGTCTAGGCGTTAGGATTTAGGTTTGGGGGTCTAAGGCTTAGGTTTTGTTGGATATTCAGATTTAGCGTTTAAGGTTTCGGGTTTCCTGTTTAGGGTTTACGGTTCCAAAATTTCAGGCTTAGGGCTTAAGATGTATTGCTTAAAGTTTAGTGTCTAAGGTTCCCTCATATCACAACAGCAACGCGAGGCCTGTGCAAGTCAATGCTAGCGGAGCAACGTTCGGAAGAACGATGGCTAAGTCGTCAGATTTCAGATTCACGAAGAAAGTGTCCTGCGAGATCTTAAAGGAAGCTAGCACACCATTTCAAGTATAACAATAATCATCATAGCACCTTCTAAGCCTCAACTCCAGACGATACACTCTAAATACCAAAGCTATTAAACTCCGAACCTACACCCCGTACCCCTAATATACTATAGTAGTTTCCATTTTCTTTTCATTATCCCCATATAACCCCTATATAGCCCCTATATAATCCCTATACACTTCTATCTTCTATATACTTCAAAAATCTTGAAAAGCTGTCACCCTTTCCGAGGAAGCTGCACTCTAGTAGCCTAAAGCCCCAAATTTGTAAATCCTGAACCCTTAAACCTTTTAAACCCTAAACCTCAAACTGTAAGCCGAAATCCTGAATCCCAAGCCCTAGGCCCTAAGCCTTAAACTTCAACCCTAAGCCATAAACCCTGTTTAGGGTTTAGGGTTGAAATCGCAAGCCCAAAGTAATTCATGGCTTTGTTCATGCTTGTACAGTCCGTACAACAAGCCTCAAAAAGCCCTTTGAAGGGATCCTTTTATGTATCCTCTATGTCTCTTTCACCCCAGATTCTTTTCCGTTTAATTCTCCAATACTGGGGATGATATGCCCATATGAACCCTCTAGACCTAAAGCCCAAACTTGAAGCCGATATACATACACGCATATTTATGTAGCTGTATTTCCCCACCCTACACCCTAAATCCCTAAACCCAAAAAAACCCTAAAACCCTGAACCCTACACACCCCTATATCCCTAAACCCCTGAGACCCCTAAATTCTCAAACCCCCTACACCCAAAACCCTAAACCCTAATCCTTCAACCCTACACCCTAAA